TGAACAGAGAGCTTAGCAACAGTGTAGGCAATTGAGAGGACCCCTGCAAAAGGTCAAGAGAGTCATATAGAATGCTTAAGTGCTTTCAGGGGGCCTCACACAGTGGAAGGGATAAAATCCTTTCATGTTTTTATTAAATTGCTGCCAAACAATTAGTTTGTAAGCTTGTTTGGAATAAATGTTAATATGCTGTTGTAAAATATTAAAAATTATTAATGAGCTTTTGTTATTTTAAAATATATTTTAAAATTCTACTGCTGTATTTTAAGAAATATTAAATAAGATAATTTGTTTTGCTCTTTCTTAGAGGCAAAAACTTAAAATATATATTTATTAATATTTATTTGATAAAGCTTTCTATGTGATTTCAAGTATATTAAATTGGCTTTATTAAAAAATTCTTTAAGAAAAGAAAATAAACTTTTGAAAACATTTCAGGGCCCATGAAATGTCCTAAAGTCATTCCTTGATTATAGTTTTGAAATTTAATTTAAAAGACTATTAAATATATATGTGTATATATAATTTAAAGATTATATACCTTTTATAATTATTAAAAGATATTAATTAAATTAAAACTGATCTTTGTATTTAAAATTTTTGGTTGGGATAACAGAATTTATTCTTTTTTTTCAATTAAACAAATGTTGAAATTTTACTATAATTATATGATTTCTTTCAATTTATTTAACCAGAACTTTAAACTCTTAGCTGGCAAGTTAAATATTTAGCATTTCTCAATTAGTAACATTTTTAAGAATAAACTTTAAAAAATACATGACATAATCAATAGATTTAATTCTGTCCTTTAGATTTTTCATGAGAGAAATTTAGATTAAAACTTTAGCATTTTGTTATTTCAGAATATCTAATTCAATTTATTAAACTCTCAAAGCCTTGGGCTGCCATTGACTGGAAACAGGTAACCATTAAAATGCAAATTAGTTATATTCTTTCTACTAAGGATGGGAAACTGAGAAGCAAGTCTCTTTTTAAAAGTTGTCACTGGCAGAAAATTTTTGGCCTACCTTGTCTGTTGGGGGAAGGGAGGCTAGCCCTTCCTCTATTAGAAATTGCTTTGGGAAGCCAGCCTTAAATAGAGGGGGTAGCCGTCTTTTACCTGGGCTACTTAGATTTTTATAATTAATATATTTTAATAATTCTTGAGATTTAAATCCAATTTATTATTTTAAGGCATATTCTTTAGCAAATTTTTTGTAACAGACAATTTTACTGAATTTCCTTTTCAGCCTTGAAGTTAATTTTTTAATATTCTTTATTAGTATTTAAAAACTGTTCTTTATTATGGAAATGCCAATCCTGCTGCTAGAATCTAGCCAGCATCTTTTTTCCTTTGGGTCAAATTTTGCTATTTTCGTTAGGAAATAATCAGTCTTGGGTTTTATTTTGTATATTTGCAAAGAGATTTCAGCTTAAAACTCTATCTAAATGTCCAAAATCGGACAATGGGCGCCTTAGTTCCAAGCTAGTTTTCTCTTTACACGTGTACAGAAATCTCAGACGTATTTTTAAATTTCAGATTTGGTGGCATTTGCTGTAGCTGTATCGGAAATGCAAGGAAATTGTCATTTCTTCTCGATGTGGAAGGTTTTAAATCTAATGATATTTTGTTTATTTTAATAAGCAATGGCAGCACCCAGGGCAGACAGAATGTCTCATCTCTATGGATCCAAGGTCCAGCCCGGTACTTCCGGGGGTTGCTCGGAATAGCTCTTGTATCTATTTTGCTTTCTGTGGCAGGCTGGATACTGTGCAGCCTGCTGGCCTTGAGATGGCACAGGGACAGGAGGGTAAATAGACAATGCCCCTGTTATTTGTTGGGGCTGGGCTGGCCCCTTTTGGTAGTTTCCCGACTGGTGTCGAGGCAAAGAATTTCCCTGGATATCTGTCTTAGATTTACACTCATTTGCCCAATGTTTTCTTTTTTTATATTTAGGGCACAGTCCAGGTTGTTTGGGACCTCTGCCATTTCCTTTATTAATCCCCTTATTAGAAGGACACTGTTTTGCCATGTGTCCTGTTTCTCCACAAGTGTAACACTTGTATGCTGGACTTTTCCCTGTGCTAAATTGTTGCTGAAGAATTCCTTCAATGGTGGTTCCCTTTAATGCAGCTGCAATGGCAACTCCTTGTATATATGAGGGACCAATATCTGCACAAATGCGGATATAATCTGAGAGAGTCCCCTGTCTTTGATAGGGCCGCAGTGCAGCTTGGCAGGCAGTGTTGGCGTTTTCATATGCCAACTGTTTAACTATTAACATGCCAGCCTCTCCATCCACCACTACTCGGCCAACAGCCTGTAATAGCCGAGAGATAAAATCCTGATACTTTTCATCTGGCCCTTGAATAATTTTTGAGAGCTCCTCTGTTTTCTGACCAGAGGTGGGTAACTTCTTCCTGGCTCTAATCCCAGCTCCATTAATCTGTCCATAAGCTTCCTGGGGGTATTGAATTTGATTATGGGTATCAGCATAGACTCCTTCACCTACCAGCATTTCATAAGAAATATTAATCTGGGCAGCTCGATTACGAGAAGCTTGCTCCTTAGCCTTTTCATCATATTCTGATTTCCATAAGAGATAATCCCCTCCTGATAAACAAGCCTTGGCAATAGCTCTCCAATCATTAGGTGGGAGAGCCTCTGAGGTCATAGTTTCCAAGATGGTTAAAGTATAAGGGGAAGTGGGCCCATACTGAGCACAGGCTGTTTTTAACTCTTTTAAGGTTTTAAAAGGAAGCGGGTCATAAGCATGTTCACGCTGTCCCGTGTGAGGGTTCACCTGTTCCATAACAGGGAAGGCGTGAATACCCAATTTCTCACCACACTTTCGTGCCTCCTGCAAAGCCATCTGGAGAGGGGAAAGTGGAACTGGTGCTGCACAAGGTAGCGGAGAGTGGCAGGAACAGCCCCCGCGGCTTCTCTTTTTCTTGCCAAGAAGCTTTAATTTTTCTAAAAAGCATTCCAACACATCCTCTATATCATTGCCCTCTTCAGTTCCAGTAGAAAAATATTCTTCCTCCTCTTTTGCCTGAACAATACCTGTATTATTATTATGACAAAGAGCAGCAGCTTCCTCAAAATCCCCCTCATCTTGAGGAGTTAAATTGCCTTTAAAAGTTACATTATTTCTTTTTAATATGCTGTCTTTTTTAGACCCCTGTTTTGTGCTATCACGCTGTTTCTCCTTTTTTTCTGGCTTAAGAGACGGTTGATTATGGTCATGCCTGGGATCTAAACAATCCCGTATTAAATTCCATAAGGAAAATGCATCAACCGGGGTCTTACTTGGCCCAAGGGCTTTATAATGATCACGCATTTGTTTTCCAACTTTCTGCCACGTTTTTAAGTTAACGGTTCCTTCCTCAGGAAACCAAGGGCAGACCTCCTGAATGAATTTTAAAAAATTTTCTACTTGCTTGTCATTAACCTTAGTTCCTCTACTATTAAGCATAGACTTTAACATTTGCTCATAAAGAGCATTTTCTCTAGATTCTAATTGCCCCATGCTTTACTCCCGATTATCAAAAAATTGCTCCTCCCTTACCTTAACGAGTGCACTCTTTATCTGGAGGAGTTTCTCACCGTCGTCTCTCCAAGCCCGACGGAGTTCCTCACCGTCTTATTCCCAGTTCCTCAGTCCCTGTTTGGGCGCCAGATCTGTCAGGGCCAGCCTGACAGGGTTGAGCCGGGCTGAGGCAGGGAGGTGGGAATTGAGAAAAAAAAAGAAAGACAGGAAAGCGGGATCGGGAGGACCCCAGTTCTCTTGATGAACTGAAGCAACTTTATTAGCCACACAATACTATTTATACACAACACACTGAATAGGAGGTCTGTCAAGAGGAATGTATTCTTTGTTACTCTTAATCTCTAAGGGAGGGACACAACAGAAGGACAAGTTCTCAGTACAGCATATCTCAGTAAATAGTTACAGACTTCTTGGTAAGCCATGAAAGGCTGTTCTCATTCTACAAATGTTGCTCTTATTCTACTGATAAACGCCATCCAAACAAGTCTGGGAAAACTGTATGGGTAAGGATCCCAGCCTTGCTAGCCCCTTCAGGTGCAAGGACCTTGCCAGCTTACATCTGGCCCCCAACAATCAGTCATTATTAAAACTTTTCTGCTTACCAATTCCACTTGGGAAATCAACATTTAAAAAATAACACCAGAAACCAATATACAAAAATTCTCAATTTGTCCTGCAGGTGCCACCGTAACCATAGAATATCTCTTTTTTGCTCTTTAGCTTTGATCTCTTGGAGCTGCTAAAGAACAGAAATTCTAGATAGTAGAAGTCCATGTATGTGTCCTACACCAGGGATAACTTGGTAAACTCATGCCTGTGTTTTAGTTTTATAGCTCCAATATATATATTTATTATTATATTTTTTCTTTTAAAAAAAGCATTGTTGAGTTTTTGAGTAGAGAGTACTTACATGATTCAAAAAACAGAAAGTGTATAAAAATGTATATAATAAATAATCTACCTCCCACTGTTGCTCCCAGCTGCCAGTTTTTATTTATGACCCTTTAAAATAAGTAACCACCGTTATTAGCCTCCTATATCGTTCCAGAGACTCTTAATGCCTCTATACACATATATTCACAAATATAAATACACAATACTACCTACTTTTATTACACAAATGGCAGCATATTATACCGGCTATCCTGTATTTAGTTTCACATATATTCAGGAACTTCTTATAACAACACATAAAGAGCTTGTATACATTCTTTAAAAAAAATCATAGTATTCTATCATACCAACATGTAATTATTTATTGATGGATATGTAGGTTGTTCCCAATTGTATTGTTTGTTATTATTTACTACTAATGATAACAACAACAATTTGTATAGTTTTCTATTGCTGCCATAACAAGTTATGGCAAACTTAGTTGTTTAAACATTGCCTAGTCACTATTTCACAGTTCTGTATACTAGAAGCCCAGGTGAATTTGACTAAGTTGATAGTTCAAGTCTTTACATCCCCACCCCTCTCTTTTTGTAAGTTCTCCAAGGCAGTCAGGAGGAGCCCGGCCACAGTTGTAATCATTTTGACCAGTGCAATTAAGAGTCATGTTCATTAGATCATGTCTTGCCATCCACTTATACTGCATCCTACACCAGTGATAACTTGAGTAATCACGATATTGCTACATATCATAGATTACTAGTGTCCTACTTTCCCTGGCAAAGGTATCGGTGAGCTCATCAAAGACGTGGGCAATGGAATCCCAGAATCCCAGTTTGAGGGTTTGCTTCCTTGGGCCATTTTTTTATACCAATACCAAGGTCCCCATGGAAAACAAATGTTTTAAGAGGGATAATGTATTAGTTATGGTCCTCCAGAAAAACAAAACTATATGTATGTGTAATAAGAAGTTGGCTCACATGATATAAAGGCTGGTAAATCTGCAGACCCAATGTTCCAGCTCGAGTTTGAAGGTCAGAAGCTGCTGTAGAACCAAGAAGAGGTGATCTTCAATTTGAAATCCTTCGGCAGGAGAACCTCTCTTACCTGCGGTTGAGGGTCAGCCTTTCGTTCTGCTCAGGCCTTCCCGCTCTGCTCAGGTTCACCCACATTATAGAGGGCAATCTGCTTTACTCGGTCTACGGATTAAATGCTAATTTCATCCAAAAACACCTTCACAGAAACACCCAGAATCATGTTTGACCAAATTTCTGGGCACCCTGTGGCCCAGACACGTTAAAACATAAAATTAACCATCACAGATGGGTAAGGCCAAGGGAATTGAAAAGGGATGGTCAACACCCAGGAATTAGCTGCAGCAGAAATCTGTTACCAGCATTTGGCCTGCTTGCACATGGGGAAGAATTGGTGTCATTAAAATCTGGTGATGGCTATAGCCCTCGAAATAGTTCAATTGACATTGGTGGTAGAGACATTGTGGTGATAGAGACACTGTGGTGGTAGAGAAGTAAACCCTCTTCTAGAATCACTCCTGTCAAGGCAGGAGTCAGTGGAATAAATCTCTTGACCTCTCTTTTCCTTCCCCTTTCAATCTCCAGCTGTGTTGCATCCTTCAGTTAACCCAACCTAAAAAGAAGCAGAGGGTAGAGGAACCTGTGTGATACACTAGATAAAGGTCAGCTTCCTGGACCACACAGCATGGCACAAAAGGACTGAAAATTGAAATGGGGTGGAGAAATAGAGAATAACCAGAACATTGGTCTTTCTCTGGTACAAGAGTATATATATATAATTCATAGACGTGGACTTTCTGGGTCAAAGGATAGATGCATTTATAATTTTTCATAGAATTTCTAAGCTTCCCCCATGAGGGATCATAGCAATTTACATTCCATCCAGTCCTGTGTATGAATGCCCTTACCCCATAGCTTGTCCAACCATTTTCTATCAAACGTTGGGATTTTTGTCAAAACGGTAGGTGAAAAGTGTTATCTCTGTGTAGTTTTATCATGCATGTCTTTTTTTATGAGGGGGTATAACATCTTTCCATATAGTAAGAAGTCATTACATACAAGTGGTAGAAAACTCAATCTGGTTTCAGCAACAGAGAAAAAAATAACAGTCACATAGAAGAAAGGTCAGTGGGTATACATAGAGACACACCTTGATACCAGGACTCCAAGGGTGTCATCAAGCCCAAGTCCAGCTCTTCTCTCTCTCCCCATCTTTTGGCTCCGTTCTCACCATTTCCCCTCTTATAGGGGCCCCAGGCAGCTCCAGACTTTCATCCTTATAGCTGCAAGTTCAGTGCAAAGACCAAGGCCTGAGTCTCAGTGACTTCAGTTGAATCATGTACCTGCCCTTGAACCATCACCGCACACAGGGGAATGTGCTGCTCCATTTGCCCAGATTTGAGTCATAGGACTACATACCCTCTACCCATGCATGTATCTTCAAAGATGACCATATCCATATAATACAGCTGTACTCCTCACAATAAAAACTGCTTATCCACACAGCCCAGATGAAAAAAAAGCAAAAACCCAAACTCATAAATACACTAATTATTGCTCCAATCCAGAATTTTCCTGGTTGGGTCCTAATATGGCTTCTCATAGTACAACAAACTATGCTTAAATAAAAACCACACTCCCTTTCTACACTTATGGAGAGGGGTAATGGCAACTGAAATAAAACCTTCCACTTGGAAAATAGGAGGACAGGAAACAACCCACAGTGGTCTCTGGCCTCAAACACTTACTAAGTCCCCAGCCTGGGTGATGTGAGCTCATTAGTCATTCAATGTGGCCACCCTTGAAGGTTCTCTGTCTTCCTTTATCTTCCATGGCCCCTTTTGGGGATCTTTGGCAAGGGTGACCCTTCTTTGGGCTGCCTCTGTTTAGCACCTCATTTCCTGAAGGACTAGTGGGGCCCTGGAATGGCCTCAGAGACTGAACTGTTGCAGGCTACTGCTTGTTGGGCTTCAGGTTTCCCTGGCAGTGAATGTCCCTAAAACTTTTTAGGAGGCAACAAGCCTGAAGGTATTATTGTCTTCATTTCTTAAATGTAGAATCTATAGCTCAACGTTAAGTGACATTGCCTAAAGACATACAGCTGGGCAGTGACAACACCAATATTTGTAACTCTACCTTTACCTCTCTGTTCACACTGCTTCCCCATGTACCTTATATAAAAAAGGTTTTGTTTGCAAT